CGGTTTCCAGTTCGCGGTCTTCAGTTGGTTTGTTAAATTCGGGTTGCTGACGAGGCACGATCAGACTGAAACAGTTGTACGGTGCCCCTCGGATTTTCAGTTCATGTTTCTGTTGATAACAACATCCCTGATGCAACAAGTTTTAAATAGTTCAACGTAAATGTTGTGTCTGCAAATTTATCCAACCAGTGGTAACTCAGTTTCACGTGACCAACGCTAATGAAGGTTAACTAAACGGATATGTGCGGTTGACTGATGGTCAAAAAGCGACAAATTTCCCAGGGGTAAAACTTTCAGTTTGGTCGTTCGATTGAGGATGGGTGGTGCGGTGGTGATTGCTAATGTTTTGTTTCGTTCTGGCAGGTTCAGAATGCACTTGATTTCAATGACCTTCCGTTGTCAGACACCCGGACATTTGGGGATTCCACGCTGATTGAAATTTCGTCCGAGGTTGTTGCGGGGGTGCTGGTGACGGACATGGTTATCACCTAGGGTCATTTAGACTAGGCATAGGATTATTCACTGGCATTTGTTCGCAGATGATACCATTGATTATCCCAGAAACAATCACCCCATTGTGATATTTCATATTTGTTAAGAAAGAAATCTTGGGATCTTGCGGGAATGGATTTGTCAGTGGAAAAACCAGTGGAACTAGGAATAGTATGTCCGCCTGGAGGGGATGACCGCGGTAATGTAGGCATGAAGATATCATTGTAATACCGGTTTCAATTCGATATGCTCCTAACTGTTAATGGTCTTCTGTACAGCACGCGGTAGATCGAATAGCCTCTGTTGAGGAAGCCCTGCTCAATACCTTCTCGTGGCGGAGGTGTTTCCCACCTAAGTGAGAGAACAAAAAGCCGACATCCGGGACTATAAATGGGTTGGTGGACCACTGGTAGTTCACCTATGGGAGTTGGCTAAAATCCCTGATTCCAAACCAACCATGAGGAAGAGTACGAACCACACACCTTCCCGGTTGTGGCAGTGGCCACCGGATCGATTGGACATTGGGGTGTATTGGGCACCTTGGACGTTTAACCCCGCCAAAAGTGCATATGATCCGATGAACTGGACATCGGTCCCCATTGGATAGTGGTTTTGGCACACCGCTCAGCTGCCTTGCGGGTCAATCTTTGGCTAACCGAAAGCTCCGGTTTTGGATTCCCCAAGAAAATTCATCTCCCTTGGCCTGCGCAACCTGGCAGCATTCGGCTCACATGCAAACCACGGAACATTTTCTTTTTATAGAGATCATTGTGCCGTGATTTTTTGGCACAGTCTGGATTCGGACGTGTGTGTGAATATATATATATGAGGCTGAATCGTGACGAAAATGCGACTGAACTAGCTTCTGTTCACAGCCGGGCCGAATCGATGGGTTTCTGCAAAGTTATAAATTGGCAACTTGTATAGCGTAATTAACTTACCTTGGTCGAACGGTCCTCTCCACTATTGGTGTTTAACGATGAAAACTTTTTTTTTATATGCGTGAGGTACTTTCAATGGCCAACCAGTCCTAGTATAAATCCGTTACTTTCGTGGAAATGGACGCCATTCAATCGTTCAAAGCAATCAACAGTTGCAACCCCTCGGTGTAACCTTACGGTACTATATTCCTCAACCGTAACTAGTTGCGTGTGATCAAAGTTAAGTTTCAGATTATGCAACCAGTATTGGTACAGTTTCACGTGGTGGTTTTATTTGCTATCTTTTAGCTCCCCATTAGGGTGAAGATGTCGAGAGAGGGTTATATGTTGAAAGCAGTTACTATGTAAGGTTAGAGAATTCGAGCAAATGAATTTATGAAAGAGATTGAGAAGACGCTTGAGCACCGCTGTTTCCAACACTGAGCTGCATCATTCGATGTCTCTAACCGTCGAGTACACTGCTCAGGAGTTCGAAAACCGGGGGGGGGGAGAGAGTGGACGAAACTTACATGTCCCTGGTTAGGGGCTTTGCACCAGGTTCACGTGACATAACAGACTGTGAGCGGACCAGCCTGAGCTGATTAGTTCACTGAGTAGATAAACCAAGCCCCGTTTTGAGGATTTTCAATTCCTGTAGTTTTTGCCGTAGTATTTTGAAGAATTTGTGTTGCCTTGAGAATGTGTTCCCAAATAAATCGCTCACAAACATCTTTAGAGGATTTCAACGCACGTATGCTTTCTGTCGGCTGACAGTGTTTCACTAGATCCGATCTCCGTCGAATGACCGAGTTATTTGCAGGATAATTCGATGATGTTACAGGTAAGGAAAAAAAAACCTGTCACTTCCAAACGAGTTCAGTTAGGTCGTTATGGCATGCACAACTGGTTCGTAGTGTTCATAAGGTAAGAAGTTCTCGAGAACTTAATTAAAATATCAGAATCCATGCCAGCCTACTCTCAGACTGGAACTGTAAAAGATGAACCTCGAGCAGAACTGTTATGAGTAGTCTTTATCGAACGAGCTTAGATGAGTCTGTTAAGGTAAACTAACATGAAGAATTGAAAAAGCGGAATGATCTCTGTAGGATCTATCGAAGAGTTTGTATCAAATATGACATGACTTAGATAGATAAACATGGGTGGTTGTCGAAACATTTAGTGCATTTAAATCACAATATGTTTGGTTAAAGAATCCTACATGAATATGCAATAGTAAATTCTGTGATAACCGACAAAAACCGTTGAACTGGTCGACAGTGCTTATATTTTGATGGGGCTGGAATTGTAAAGTTTCAGGATGGGCATTGAAACAATTATCCCTGAGCTACACGGTCGACGAGCCACATCTTTGTGGGTCATCCCAGAGATTCCCGTTGCAAGTGAACGCATTTAACTGCGGGGAAATTACCGACCTTTCAAGACAATATACTTGGGAGCACCGCAGTAGATATTGATTGTTCTTGAATGTCTATCACAATGAAATTGCACTGTGGTGATGACGCCTACCCCAGAGCGGCACGTTACGGTTTCTGGACACCTGCGTTCAATCAAATTTGATAGGTGACGTCGATGACGCACGTACGGCTTCTGACTACACGCCATAGGCAGATCGCGCGAGCCAATCCGAGACAGTGCAAACAGAAGCAGAATTATGCAAGCAATACTGCAATACGATTGGTGGAAGCCTAGACAACTAATAATCTTCTTTTGTACATATTATTTAATCGCCCTCATTTCTTTCAATAAACGACTTACTAACGGCTATTCTTGTGGCCTTTTCCTCGCGTCCCAGTTACGTGGGACATTGTGTGTTAGTACTATCGCGGTCCAGTGCTTCCGTAATCCAGTCCATGATAACTGACCCTTGATTCCTGTCGTGTGGTTCGTGTTCCGAATTCCGTGCGTACTACTACTACGATCATTACATGCACCTTGACTTGGGGTGATGATTTGTGTGCCCCCATGACTCCACCAGCTACACAGGATGGCTTTTTACAACCCTAAACCTAATCATGTCTTAAAGATCAATGTGTAGAAACCAGATGAAGATCAGTCTCACAAGACCAGCTGCTTGGGAACCTCTTGGCTTCCTGTCTATCCACACCCGCCCCTGTAGAGGTCACTCCAGCAAATAAACACGATGAGGGACAGTTTGCCGGTCAAAAAACCCTGCTGGATGGATGTGGAAGCGGGGTACCTGAGGCTTCCTCTTGACGTTGGGAGAAGTCTTCGCACTTCATTCAACAGCTACCGCCCGCCCAAGCTGAGCAGCCCCCAGCCAAAAAGGTTCTGTTTCGTCCACGTTCCGCTTGTCTCGTTGGTTGCATATGACTAATAGCCAATCCCGGACAGCGGACCGACAATCGACGGACCAGCGAACAACATAATGAACCGAAACCCGAAGGCCTTGTGTGACAGGTCTCTATAGGTTCCCACACGGGTGCTTCGGTCACACTCCCGCGTTGGATCTACGCCCAGCTGTCTTGTGGGTTAGCCTTTTGAGTCGAAGCCTCTGGTTACGATCCCCCAAAACAATACCCCTTCGTCTGTGTCGCCTGCCGCGAAGTATGCTATGTCCTAAAGTTTTAGGCACCCATTTGGAGAAACCGCTTTCTCATCTATCTAGATCTTCCACTCCTGAACAATCCCAGACGCCTCCCGTTTACGCCACCCATCGAATATCACTCAGCGTTTTATCTGGAAGGTCAGTCAGAAGTTATAGAATTTTTGGAGCCAAAAATCCCTTTTCACTTAGCCGCGTTCAATGTCCACACACTACCAGATCGGTCAACAAGCTGCCTTCGCTAGAACCCTTGAAAT